AAAGCATATTTATAAATATTGGAATAATATATATCCAAATATTGGATATATCCATCCCCCAGTCATTTAAAGGAAAGCCTGTCTGAAGAGAAAGGTCTTTGGCTGGTTCATCAGGAGGTCACCATTTCCAATCAGCGAAGCCATGTACTTCAGTATTATCTGATTGTCTGGGAGACTCCAGAGTCCCAGAGAGAGTTTTTGCTGTTATCTGTTATCTGATTCCTTAACTAATCCTGACAGGGGTTCTGTCTGGGCATTCTATATGCAAAGCATGTGTGCAGCCCATTGAATAACTATGAGAGGTTGGAAGGGTTGTTGGTTTTTTTGTGTGACTAAGCTCCAAATTTAAATGACAGCTCCCAGAAACCTTCACCCTGTGAAATCAGGTCCAAGAAGAGTACTTTTTGAAGCCACCCGGCTTCTCACACAAGCTTCTCCCCCTACTCCTCTTTTGTGAGAGTGCAGCATTATCCTCAGAGGCTGCAGGAAAACGAGAGACCTGGAATGTTTACTTTGCAGGTGAAAAGGAGCGGAGAGCAAACTGGTAGTATTGCTACTACTACAACCGCCCCCACTACCACTAGTACGATTAATCATCATCATGCACTGATAGAATTGACATTAATTATTAGTCCATATGCTCCAAGGAGATCGCTGGAAAATGCTATCATCATCATTTTATAACTGCAGAGCTGGAAGGGACCCTATGGATGATCAAGTCCAGCCGTGCCAAAGAGGCAAAGTGGGGAATCAAACTCCTAACCTGCAGCCAGTACACCTGAACCGCTGAGCCATCCAGCAGTTCATCTTTAGAGGTCCCTTCCAGCTCTAAAAGTTACAAAAATGGAACTGGGTCAAGCACCTTCCAATCACATTCCAGGAAGGAGGTCAGAGCTAGGCTGAAAGCCCAGCAGGCTAATTTAATTTGTTCTTTAATCACCTCCGGGCCATCCTCTGACTTGTTTGTTGCCTCTGCTTTGTGTCCTGAAATGCCTGTGTTTCCCACCCACACCCAGTGAGCTTTTCAAGGGAAGTCTTAAGGTTTCCAAGAGTTACAGCTTTGATGGCTGTAACTGCTAAAACACACTGTTTATTTATAACTGATCTGGCACCTGGTCATTTGCCCCAAGAATCCCCCAGAGCACTTTTATGCAAACAAATAGGCACCTTTGGTCATGTTGCTGCCTAGGTGGTAAAAAACCTGCTGATGGGCCTAAGGGAGCAGAATGGTAAGCATCAGAAAGAGAAGGAAAGAGAGAGGTAGGGAAAGAAAAAGGAGGAGAATTTTTATAGGCATACAGTCAGTTATAAGGATATATCATGAACTCACCATGAACAGTGCATCTAAAAGACAATGGTATGCAAACAGTATACTATGCAGCAGTTGCATGCTAAGCTCACATATCGGGTGTATGAACCCTGGATAAGCAATATGAATAATGCTTTGACTCCAGAGACCTGCGGAGCCAAGACAAAAGGTGGGGGAATCATCTGGGCACAGGAGATTTTTTTTCTGTTCTCTGACATTTCTTCCCATAATACCCGAGGATTCTCATGATCAAGGCATTATTCACATAGCCATCTGAGGAAAAGCGGCTAGGATTTGCAGGAAGCAACCCCCCTCCTCACTGCCATCCACCCATCTCCTACTTTTTTCCATCTCGAGGTGGAAGGGATCAGGACCCTGTCTGTGTTCCTCTGCTGCTGAATTTTCAGATTCGCATTTTGTGTGAATGTGTGTGAGTCTATGAGGAGGGGAGCAAGCAGGGGGATAAGAGTCAAACTGTAGCATTTTGGGGCACAAGGCATATTTCTCTGCTTCTCAGCAGAGTGAACGGATGGATGGGAGCATGCTAGACTGTGTATCTATGAATTCCTACTTTTGTCCCATCGCTTTCTGTCACCAATGGCTCTGCCCTCTACTGGCTGCTGTGAGTGCTGCCCCACCAAGCACAATGTCACCATTGCTAGCAAGAGTGAGTAATAAGGGGAGTCCTCAAAGCAGACGAAGACCCAATGGGACTGTTAGCCAAAAGTCCATCCTTCAGACTATGCATGCGTGTTTCTGTATGTCTGTATTTGGCTAAAGTGAAACATGGAGGAGAGTGACCCCTATATGTTGTCTGAGGAAGTGGACTTGTCCACAAAAGCGCTCACATAAAAATATAGCATACAATGCACCACAACATTTTTTTGCCTAATATGTTAGAACAGACTTAACACGGCTACCTCACACTCACATAAAAATATAGCATGCAATGCACCACAACATTTATTTTTGCCTAAAATGTTAGAACAGACTTAACACGGCTACCTCCTCTAAAACTAATCCCTGTATGTGAGAGGTACAGTATGTGTTTGCATAGGTAAAGAATTGTGTCCTCGAGCTGTCACACCTCACAACCTTAAGCACTAGGTCTAAGCAAAACTTCAGATTTTATATAGGTTTTTAAAATAAAAACAATAATTTACTGTCAAGTCAGTTGTGGTGGATCTTTCTAAGGTTTTCTTGGTATACTACACAGAAGTAGTTTACTGTTCTCTTGTTCTAGGGATGATGGGGCTGGTTTTTCTCCTGGGAATACAGTCGGAAATTGAAACCCCCCCCCAGCCTTTGACTGTGCAACCAGATAACTCACTCATTATCTGGACTGCTCTGGATTTTAAATCTAGGCACAGTTTGGTCCAACTTCAATCTAAAGCCTTGCCGAAGTATAGAACTAAACTACCAGAATTTTCCTCCCATTAAATATCACAATAGCCTTATTTCAAATCTAAATGGTAACATTACAGAAGAACAGAACTCAAGAAAGATCTGATCATCTCCCTGATAGGAATGAATAGAATTCACAAGATTCTTAGATTACCGTATTTTTCGCACTATAAGACACACTTTCCCCCCCACAAAACAGGGGGGTGGAAAGTCTGTGCGTCTTATGGAGCGAAGAAAACAGATTATTTTTTCCTGTTTTCTTCTCCTAAAAATTTGGTGCATCTTATGGAGAGGTGCGTCTTATGGAGCGAAAAATACGGTACCTTTTTGATTGGCCAATCACAATCCTCATACTCTCTTTATTAGAATTAAGTCCTTTGTGCTGAGCTCTTCTTAGCTATTGATTTTAATTGTGTTTTAACAAATTTTTTAAATATTTTCTTGGCTGAAATCCAGTTGTAAGTCACAGCTAGAGTAAGCACATTGAATCAGTGGAATCTGTGAAGGGGTTGATTCATGAAATCCTCACTGATACAATGGGCTTAACTGCAGTTGTGTATTTCTCCTGGGCTTCACCCATTGTTACTAGATTTCACCTATAAGGGGCCAGGACAATATTTGCTGGGCAGTCTTATAAATTAAAAGAATCAGTTTCAAATCCATTGAACTATGTTGCATTTTAATTTATTTTTGGTTTTTTGGTAGATCTTAGAGTCATTCATGAGTAGATGCATAGGTGAGAATAATGCATGTACACCATCCAGAATAGTGCTGTGCATGAATGGGGCAATCTATTCGTAATTTGCATTACGAATAGAATAGAATAGAATAGAATCTATGAGCCCCTGGAGGGGTAGGGTTCTATTAAAAAACACACATGCGCAGAACTCCCCTATTGTGCTTTCATCACCAATGTAAACAAGGGAGTTCAATTTTTTTAAAGTGAATTTTGAGTTGCATCTTCTAAACTCATCATACGAATGTGTGTATCTGTTGACTTAGAGGGTTAACTGATGGAACCAGAGTGTCAAGTGCTTACTAGGTACAATTCACATGATGTCGTGTGGAGGCTTCTTTCAAATGAGAAGCAATCCAGTGGTGCATCCAGAGTGGACGTATCAGCCAACAGGGTTCTGTTGTAGCTCAGTGGAGGCCCAGAAATGTTCTCCTGTTCTTAAGGGAGGCCCAGTCGCTGGTCCCCAGCCTATGGCTCCTTGTGCTATTTTAAATGTCAGGTTGTACAGAGCAACCACAAGCTCTGATCTACCATAGGATTATGTGCACATTATCAGGCAATGCATTGTTTGTAATGATGTACTAGTGCCATCTGCTGGCCACATCCATTAAGTGCAACATTGAGACACTAAAATCTCTTGAACTGGCATACAAATTGTAAACATGAGGTCCCATCAAGTCTCCCTTTAGAGATCCAAGTTCCTCTTTGTTCTCCATTTGGGAATCAGATTCTTAGATCCAGTTTCCCTTTTGTTCCCGCACTCAATATGAAGGCTATGAAGAAATTAGCAAATATTTGGAAACGTCTTCAAGAACAAACTAAAATAAAAGTACCCTCCATGTGTATTAACCAAATTCAAACATGAAGAGGACCATATTTCAGCAGTATTAAAGTTTGCAGTATGGAGGTTAAGCATCAAGGACTGCAGAAAATGATATGCATCAAATAACTACTGATCAATCTTCTAATTTTTCCCCTCTAGGTTCTTATTATTTGATTACTACTTACGGTGCAGTAGAACTGATCAAGAGCTATGATAAGCTCACAGTCACCCGACAGCTAAGCTCTGAGGTTCAGGATTCTATCCATCGCTGGGAGAGACGGAGAACACTCAACAAAGCCAGAGCATCCCGTTCGTCTGTTCAGGTTAGAAAATAAATGGTGCACTCTTTTGTTTTATTCACTCATTCATTAATTATA